TTTTCCTTATCACCAGATGATTGAGATCCAAAAATCTTGCTCCTTATGAGCCTTTATCTTGTACAAATGTGCGAATTCTTTTCTTCACTGTGGTTTATATGCTTCTCACACTTTCTTCCTGGCAGATGGATGCTAGAACTCTTGCAACGGAAATGGCTCCAATCCTTATTTGGCAAAGAGGACAGAGTCCACACCAGTATGACCAGTTCTGGAACCATTCAGCAAAATCTTCTTCTAAGAAACATATGGACTCCAACTCTAACTCTAGTGCATGGGAGATGCTTGAAGGTCTGTGTTTTTGTTTATTCCTTTCTGTTTTCTAGTGGGCAGTATAATATTTCATTCATCTTTATAATTTTTAACACAAATCATATTAAATGAGGGGTGAATGGATACCTCAGTATCCAAATAAATTTTGAACATTAGCACGTTGAATCTCTTTCTTCTGTTACAGACAGACTTAGAAAGTTTAAAACAATGTATTGTGACTAGTGACCCTGTTTTATTTGGTAAGAAACCAGTTGACATATTAAAGTACCATGTGTGAAGTTCAAAAGTGGAACTGCAGGCCCACACCTGGAGATTGCTGGTGATGGGAGAAAGATCTCTCACATTAGTAATGATGAATTATATAAGTAGGTAGATATGATACAAGTACGTAAAGACTTCAAATAGGCTATATATTGACTCAAAATTTTGAAAAAAAAAAGATAAATGTAAGAAAATTTTGAGAAAGTATGGAAGTTAATATTGAAACATGTATCTGTATTATTAGATGTGTATCAGAAACATAATAAATTGTTCGGCTAGAATGAATTGTAGAAAGAAGTTATGCAAAGATTAACTTAAGTTGTGTGCTATAACTGCTATTTTAGCTTGTTTTGCATTTCAATGAAATATTTCTACTACTGCAACTGAGACCTTAATTTTTAGTGTACATTCTCTATTGGAGTATGTGTAGCCCGTTGAACGGCTATTTCCAAAAGATTTGTGTTTTCTGAAGACACCCAGGGTAGAATATGTTGTTTTATGTTCCTTCTCATTTCTCTTTTGGATGGAGATTTTGTGCTAGTGGAGGTTTCCACTTCTTACATTTGTTAATGTAAACTAGGAGTAGGTAAAGAATTGCTTTGAATTCCTTGGTTCTCTGCAAAAACAATTAAGCCAGAACTAGTAACAGGTTGAGTTAGTTATGTTTATTGAGACATATTTTTCTTTCAACGGTAATATCTGGGAGTATGTTCTATTTACATTAGTTACTTGGAGTAAAATCATTGCATTTTGAGATTGTTATTTGCAACTTATAACAACTGCTAAAAAATCTTGCTCCATTTTTCACCTGTGATTGTTTTTGCATCCAGATGAAGATGAAAATGCTGATGCATCTTCTCCCATCCCCTTGGATGATGGACAGCCAATCGACTTGGGTGCTATTGATGCCATTCAATGCTTAATCGAACATCATAATGCCATATTTACCGATGCAAATGAGACTGTTTGGCGATAATATTGAATCAGACTCTCAGATTGGATATATTGCACAGATAGAATGTTTTTATCCATGGTGAACATCAGAAAAAAGTTTGGAACTCTTTACCATCATACTTGATTTTCTCATAACATTTAGGAGTTTGTAACCGTGGCTATGTAAATTTTTGATTGGGATAGGCATGCATAGGTTCTTTACTTGTGTTTATAGCTCAGTTTTTTTGTTATGGGGTGATTGTTTGGATGCTATTGAAGGTATATAAAGCATAAAAGAGCTTATGTGCCATTCAAGGGTTTGTACTTGTGTTGGAGCATTGCAAAGTATGAAATAAACATAGATCTTTGCAGTTTAATGAGTCATTTTGGGTTTGTCTCTGTAGTTGCTTAAAGAAAATTTATTAGGTTTGCTTCATCTTTGAGGTTGCATACTTGGTGGAATTTTAGTTTCATACGATGTAGAATACAAAAATAGAAACGAAAGAAGTCTTGTTGAAAGGAAATCAGCTATACAATACATGGATCTAGAAATTCCACTAGTATTTGGAATATACAACAACAATAAAGTATGGAATATAATTTCATGAGTGGGGTTTTGATGAGGGTGATGTGTACACAACCTTGTTTTTACCTTGTAAAGATAGAAAAATTATTTTTAATTGATTTTTGATCAAGAAAGCACATCAAAATCAAGTATGCGAAGAAGAGCAAATTATGACTCAAGCTCCGTATCATAATTTTCTTATTTAGAGTCATGTCCTCATACTTATAAGTATCCTTGCATAGGACAATGGCTAATTGAACAGTTGCATCTTTCACTTTCATAATCATGGCTTTAAACTTTATTTTTTCTTAGCTAATCGTTATAAAAGTCTCACATATATTCCTAGAAATTTAGGGCCCGTTTGACCATGCGGTATGAAATCATGATATGATATCATAATATAAAATTATGAGATGAAGTTAAAGTTTTGTTTGGACATGCGTTATAGAATTTTTGTGTTGTATATTTTCTTATAAACATAAGAATCTCATAAATTGTAAAACTATTAAAATAGCCCCAATTATTTATTCAATCTTACCAAATAAATCGCATAATAAATTATTACAAAGTTATTTGTTCTCCACTTAAGTAATTGTTTCATCTAACTTTAATTCAATAAAAAAAAATTGAACATAAATTGTAGTATACTAGTCTTTAATATAATCTTCCCACATAATACGGACAATCTCCTCACGTGGAGCTTGCATTTCTCGATCATATAACCTAGAAGACGAACCAACATTATTACTTTGAGCCATTTGTTGGTCAATATCATTAGCAACTATAATTTCATGCTCATAGATCATAAATATTTCATCACTCAATTGGTATTCTTGCAAATAATTATGTAACAATATACAAGCTATGACAATTTTCACTTGTGTGTCAATATTATAATAGTACATGCCTTGTTTCACTTGTGTGCAATTACACATTTTCAGTGCATTAATTTCGTACTAAAAATCTAACATATTGGAAGTAGTGATACATCATCAATTTTGTCCTTTTTCATATTAAATTGCTTTAAATATTTGCATATGTAGCTGAAAGAGAATTTTTTTTAATTATGAAAAGCCAAAAAAGTATCACACCCTCTGTTCTTATTTATATTCACCAAATCAATTTCTACTTTATCATTTATATTCATCAAATTAAAAGTAATAATAACTTTTTATGTTGGTGAGAAAAATAAATTTTAAAAAGTAATGACGTGATTATAAATTTTATTTACATATGACATAAATGGTTATATGGATATAAATGTAGGGTTATTTTAACAAAATATAAACTTATAGGTTAATTTTTATATTTAAAAAATCTCAAATCAGAATATGAGAATATGAAATTCCTAAATCATGATTTTTAAGGAATATAAAATTTTACTTCACATGAGATGAAATCAACATAATGTGATATCGCACGGCCAAATGCTTAGAATACTAAAAAAGAAAAAAAATGTAGTAGAAAAGCAATGTCAGTATGGAAAAAGGCAATTATTTGTTTCAGTGAAAATGAAATCAAATATAAATCTTATTGCTCTTTCAACGGGAGTACACAGAAAAATAAAAATGTATAGTTAAACATTATGAATTTTTTTGGGGGCTAAAGAATTGCAGAGTGAAAAAAGAAGCTAATTGAACATTGAGCATGAAGAAGCATCTCTTCCTCTTCACAATACTCATCTTCTCCAAGGTATAACCAAAATTCATCAATACAATTATTATCAAAACATTGCTTCCAAGCAATTTCGTCTGATTTATAAATTTATTACTGTATGAGAATAGGCACTGGTGAATGAAGTTAGGGCTTCCTTGCTATATCCAGTAGTTGTAAGCACTTGGCCTTTTTTGGAAGCCGTTAGAGCTGCCTGGAACGCTGTTGACGGTGGTTTTTCTGCGGTGGATGCAGTTGTGGAAGGTTGTTCTGCTTGTGAAAAACTAAGATGTGATGGTACAGGTATATGCTCATTCTCATTTTATACTAATTGTTTCCTCTTTCTTCATGATTGATTAATTGAAGTAAATTTTGTAACGGGAGTTAGTATTGAGGAGATTTGTGTCTGTATAATATTTTAAATTTTTTTGAAGAGGTGAATCCATTAGCATACTCTTGCAACTCTTTTAATTGCACATTGAAGATCTTCGCTCAGATTATTTCACATCGAATTGGATGCTAGGAAATATGTGAATTTAAAGCAAATATAATGAACAAAAAAGTTGTCTTGGTCATTCATAAAGTAGTTCAATTTCTACATCTAAAGTGGTGTTCTGTTCCAAGGATTTTGATGGCAATAATTGTAGTGATCACTTTTTAGTCCTCAAACTGATACTGTCCAAGAATATTTCCAAAGTTGAAGAGTTCATAGTGGAGGTACCATTGTACCACCCCCATACTAAATATTGAAATAGCTAAACTAGAAAACTCATTGAAATCCCCAAGTGAGTACAACATCCAGCAAAGATCTATGCAACGCTCTACACCACAGAAGTTCCTTGTCAAAAATGTCTTCACCACAGGAGTTTTGAGCTACATGAAATAAGGAAAAAGCTTTCTAATTCTTGGGTATCTAAATGTATTGTGACATAATCATTAAGCTTCTGAACAATATTTATAATGATTCCTTTTATACTTCTCTCGACTTTACACACGCCCTCAAACAGAAAGTAGTGAACTAACTTGAGTGCAGTATCAAAAAGACAAACGCTACCACCAAATGGTTCGCCCAGAAAGGCATAGTGTTACCAGTATAATTATTAGAAAGAGAAAGAGTACTTCCAAGACATTTACCAGAAAGAAACAAAAAAATTATAAAAACAAGAAAAAATTAGCCAGGTATACAAGTGTAAGGCTGGCTGCCAAAAGTAGGAACAACAAAAAGTCTCCACCAAGATCCTAGAGATTACCAATACCATGATATATAGGGGGGGGGAGGGGGACTCTTGTTGAATGAGTTGGTTTACAGGATACAAGAAGGATTTCTTATATAGGATTTTGAGTTACATGAAAGAAGAGAATTTGCCTAATTTATTGAATTCCAAATTGTTGCATTATCATTAAAATATCCTCGACTTTCAACAGTAACATGAACATTAAGTATATTATGCTTAGTAGTTCTCTAGGCTTCCAATCATACCGCTTCATCTACCACATTTTAGTTGACCTATTTCAATGTAAAAGAAGGTTGAACAGTTGACAAGTTAGTCCTACCATTGACTGTCTGTTGTCAAAATAAAATTAAATACTTTTAGTTCAGATATGGGAAATTAGTACAATTTTGTCCTAAAGAAGAATATTGATGACAGAAAAGTCAGCCAGTTGTAAGGTAAAAGTTGATGCAGTTGAGCATCTTGCTGATGGTTTATACAATATGATACTTGAATTACTATAGCAGTTCATAAGTATTATTTTCATGTCAGTTGGGCCTGGTGGAAGTCCAGACGAGAATGGAGAAACTACACTTGATGCCATGGTGATGGATGGGGTAATAGTTTTCTGTTTATTCTTGGATGTTGCTTCATGATCACTGTGATGAAGACAAACATAATTAAAATTTATTTCGGATTTGCTAAGACATTCATAGGTCACAATGGAGGTTGGCGCTGTTGCTGCTATGAGATATGTGCCAGAGGGAATTAAAGCTGCGAAGTTAGTGTTGGAGTATACTAAACATACTATGCTTGTCGGGGATCAAGCTTCAGCTTTTGCCATTTCAATGGGCCTTCCGGGGCCTACAAACCTAAGCTCAGTTGAGTCAATAGAGAAGTGGACAAAATGGAAAGATAGTTCTTGCCAACCTAATTTCCGGAAAAATGTTATCCCTAGAGATAGTTGTGGTCCATTCCATCCCAATGGGCCTTCAATGAGAAGATGCCTGATGGATAACGAGCTCAGGCCTAATGAATTTGGATCAGTTAATGTAGGTTTACATAGCCATGATACAATATCCATGGCTGTCATCGACCAAGTAAGTTGTTGGTGTGTTCTACTTTATTTTGCTTAGCTTGTTGGCTTCTTTCACTATAAATTGTTTATTCCTTTCTTTTTTAGATTGGACGGATTGCCGTTGGAACATCAACTAATGGAGCCACATTCAAGATTCCCGGAAGGTGATGATCTTTACTTGTTTATGCTATGAGAAAACATTGTGTGATCTTTCAACGCTTTACCATGAAGCCAAAAAAGAACTTCAATGACCTTTTTAGAATTGTTGTGCATATGCCACACACTTTTATTTTTGCTTTAGTAAAACAAAGTACTTTGCAACCTGCTGATTATATCAAGGAAGTTGCAAATGTTGTTATCAAGTTTACTGTCTCTTCCCTAGAGGGACCATTCTCATCTTAAAAGGGAAGAAGTAGAGACAAATTACATAATGTTGTGGAGGGATATGCCATTTATTCAGGGGTGTCTGAAAAAGGTGAAACAATTTATAAACATTTCAAAAATTGTTATGAAGAGTTTACGGCTTGATCTATCTATTTTGGATGGAAAGAAAAAAATAATCCTTTACAGGTGGTCACTAAGGTATCAAAAGATTAAACATTTCACATTGTCGACTTCTGAGGTTCTGTCAATCTGCGTTTGTAAGTTTTGGAACTTTGTTAAGCAGGTACCCAGCAGAATAGTCGAGGTCACGCAAGCTGGCTCGGACATTGCCATCATAAAGAAGAATTTGGAACTTTGTAAATGCTTGATATATTCTGCAGATAACACTAATCCACAAAAATATAGGTTCATGATAGCTATCTCTTTTGTCCAAAGCTGTCTATGTTTAACTTTTCCCTTTTCACTATTCATGGTTTATAGGCAGAGGAGGAATTTCTTATAATAGAATGGGAAAATTTAAGTTGAAGTGTCTAAAAGTGGCTCTTATATATGGGAAACCTTTAATCTCATTGAAGGGAGCTGGACCGTGTTTTTGCATCAAGTGAAGGAAAGGTGGAAATTTAATTACAGAATGAGGGAGCATTTCTTGATACTTAGATTAGATTTTTTGAATAACTTTCTCATTCTCTTAATCAATTTGTAGAATGTCCACTTGCTTCGATATTTGATCGGTGGTAGATTTTGCATCGAGTATACTTGCCTCTACAGTAGAAATTTACTTCTATCACAGAATAAAGCCATTACTTCCTTTACCTTTTTTTCAGAAAACATATAAAGCATTACCGTGGTGATGCAACCACAATATTTTATCAAACTGGTTTTGTTATTTTTCTTGTGGTTTTCTATCTTTAACAGTTTCCTTTTACTTCTTCTTTCCCTTTTAAACGCAATTGTAGGGTTGGTGATGGACCTATAGCAGGGTCTTCAGCATATGCGGATGCTGAAGTTGGTGCTTGTGGAGCCACTGGGGATGGTGATATTATGATGCGCTTCCTTCCGTGGTATTTTGCAAGAACTTCCTCTGATTTTTTTGTGCCATCATGTACAGCAGAATTTCATTTAGAAACTAAGTAACATTAGCTTTCGAATGAAATAGGTAAATATGATACAGAGACTGTTTAGAGTATCTAACCTGGTAAAGTCCGAAGGAAGGGTTTTGAAGGTTGGGGATTATACATAAAAATGTGGCATGAGAATAAATAGTGAAGCGTTCCTCGGTCTTTTACACGGTCAAACCTGCAGATGGTATTCTGTGAATGTTAAATCATTAACATATGAAGGTTGGCAGCATATTGCCATATGGCTTGTACAAAAGATTTTGCTTGTGCCAAACAAGCATTTTAAAGGTCTGGTTTGGTTCCTGAATCAGTTATCCTGGAAGTAAGAAGCTAAAGCCCCTTGAATAAATCTAGCTTATCACAGTTAGTTCATAACTTCGCATGAACCCCACTTCTCATCCTAGGAATAGAAAATTTGTGCTATAAGCGTCTAAATTAATAGTCAGTATACCTAGTTTATAGTTGATATTGCTGGCTCTCCAGATTCTCTTGCAGGAATCACAAGCTCTGGATAAAGTTTTAGATTCGTTCCCCTGATTGATTAGTGCTTGGATATGTCTTCTTTTTTGTTTCCTCTTACACTTAATAGGGAATTTAAAAGTTTCTAGCTGAACCAAATTCATGTTTTTAAGCTTAATTTCCTTTTCTTATTTTTTTGAGAAGGCAACATATTTGTATATTTATATAAAGACTACACCAAAAACTATGTAGTCACCCACAATTACAAGGACTGCATAAAAGCTCTTATACGCTTAGTTTTCTCACAAGGAATCTAAAACATCAAAAATAGATTCATGGTCCTCTAAATACTTCCCTTTACACCAAAAATAGAAAAAACTAGACACGTCATTTCATCTTCTGAATGTGGCTCGATTTATCTTCAAATCACTTTCAATTCTTTCTTCCCAGATTGTCCACCAGTGCAAGCTGGGACAATCTTCCATCTCTCTTCTTGACTGGATTGATTACCTTAATTGTTCCAGCAAGTTAAGAGTTCAGATATTTTTCCTGGAATAACCCACATGATGCCTCTTAAGCTGATGAAAATCCTCCATAACTGTATAGTCAACTTACAGTGCAAAAAAAAAGGGATGATTGATTGTCTTTGACTCCTCTCTACATAAATAGCATCTTGAGCATAGATGATAGCCTCTCTTGATTAAATTATCTTGTGTCCGAACTCCCTCTTTTGCTAAAAGGCACGTGAAGCAGGCAACTTCATAAGGAATTTTCACTTTCCAAATCAAATTCCATGACCAACAACCAATCTCATTATTTGATAAAGGGAAAAGGGTCTTATATACCCCTCAACTTTGTCATTTAGAGTTGATATACCCCTCGTTATGAAAGTGGCTCATATATACCCCTACTTATATACAAATGGCTCACATATACCCTTTTTCTCTAACGGAAATGAAAAAAAAAATTGTTTAATTTTTTTTATTTTTTTATTTTTTAAAAATATAATCTCATATGAGTATATTTAATCCTCCTCAAACATATATATATTTTTTGACTTTTTCTTTTTGTTTCAATGACTAATTTAGATTTATTATTTTGATGGTCAAATTTATTTATGTTTCACTAATATTCTTGTAAAACTTATTATAGATGACCAATTTTTTTTCTTCAAATACAAAAATTAAATTACAATATAGACAAAAAAAAATTAGTTTTAAATTATAATATAGCCACAAAAAAATAGTTTTAAATTTTTTTTCTTTACACTAAGGAATGAAAGAGAAAAATAAAATAAGAATGAGAAACTCAAATAATTATAATAAAAGAAGTTAAAAAATAATTTATGTATGAAAAAGATTAAAATATACCTTGAACTTTGCTAGAAAAATCATATATATCCCTAAATAATTTTTAAGAAAATTAAAAGTCAAAAATATAAATTTAAAATTAATATTTTCACTTCCGTTAAATGAAGGGTATATGTGAGCTTATTTTGTAACGGTAGGGGTATATGTGAGCCGTTTGTATAACGGTAAGGGTATATATGAGCCACTTTCATAACGAGAGACATATCAGCTCCAAATGGCAAAGTTGAAGGGTTTATCAGTCCCTTTTCCCTTTGATAAATTGAACTCCTTATAGGCTAAATTGACAGAAAACTTCACTTGCTTATTCCCATTCCAATTCAAGTAGTCTTCAGAGTTACTGATCCACTTAAATTGTTCCAATTGCCAAGGTGTTGTAGAACTCTTTTAACCTTAACCAATCAATCCCCAATTCATTAAGTAATCTTCTGAATGTAAAGTTCCCATCTTGATCAGCACGTATTTCTCCTACTATTGCTTCCTGTTGTTGATACAAAATGTATACATAATTTAAAAGGAGATACATAACATTTTTCTTTGCTGGATATCAGTTATCAGGCTGTGGAGAATATGAGATTAGGAATGGAACCCAAACTTGCTGCAAAAGATGCTATATCACGAATTGCAAGGAAATATCCAAACTTTATTGGCGCTCTATTTGCAGTCAACCGAAATGGAACTCATGCAGGTGCATGCCATGGTTGGACTTTTCAGTACTCTGTCAGAAATCCTGGGATGAACGACGTTAAGGTTTTTACTGTTCACCCCCAGTGATCCCTTTAGCATACCCCGATTCTATTGAAGTTCTTTCTCTTCCATAAAGCCGCATTCTTAGTCTCTTTTGCATATTGCAGAAGAGATATGTCCTTCCATATCGTGAACCATAAAATTTGTCATTGATATAGCAAGTTCAAATTTGACTATTTGCAATGACTATCCTATTAAGCTTCTAATATTTGCTTGTTTGGCAAATTTTAGATTTATATGCATACAATATATATGTTGTCCGATCCTTTTCTAGATCTTTTAAATTGTGGAAACTTAGTGCACTAGACTATTTTTTTTTTCTTTCTTCCTGTTTTGTGGACTAAGGAACCTAATTTAGGGTCAATCCTGAGTTTATTGTTGAAGTGTAAAGATTATTTTGCTGATTGGACATGGATCTGTTTCAACATTGATTAGTTCTATAAGGGAACTATGAAAAAAGTTGAGTTGGATTTGCTTATTTCAAGTGTTTTTAAAAAGTAGTTTTGTAGTGTTTGAGTAAAAAAATAAAGGAAAGAAAATTTAAGGTGAAAACAACAAAATATAGTCCTAAGCTCATTCAAACAAACTTATGATGAAATTAATTTTGATGGGATAAGTTATGTTGAGATAAGTTATGATGAGATTAGTTATGTTGAGATTATTTTTTAGGGAAAATTGTATGAAATAGCAAATTATTAATTCAAATTAAATGTTATAGTCATAGTTTGTTTTTTTGCAATTCGCAACAAACATTCATGTTTTTTGTCATCTGGCAAGACCCCAATCGGAAGGTATATTTGTATATGTGAATTCCCTTTATACAAATGTGTTGTATAAAAATTAATTGTATATATATAGCATTTATTTGTATATAATTTGTTGTTTGTATATGTGTCATAGTTATACATAACAAGACATGTATGTATGATCTCTTTATGTATATAAATAGTAATTTTGTTTATATACAATTACTATGATTTAGCTTATTTATACATATTCAATTTGTTGTTTGTATATTTTCCATAGTTATACATAACAAGACATGTTTGTATAATCTCTTTATGTATACATGTAGTAATTTTGTTTATATACAATTACTATGTTTTAGTTTGTATACAGATCAATATATAGATTATCGAAATATACAGATCAATATACAGATTATCGAAATATACAGATCAAGACATGGCAGGTTTTTATGTATAAGTATACCGAAATATACAGATTAATAGGCATAGCAAACATAAAGTTTGTTATGGAGCGCAATTATACAAACTATAGCTATAGCATACAAATAAGATTTTTATGCTTACTAAACCTAAAATTTACTCTATTTTTTATTGGTTGTTTGGTTTGTCACATATTTTTTTTTTGGTTTCCCACTCGGTGTTCGGAGCCCACATTGGAGCTCCGACTAAATTCGGATCGCGTTCTACAGGGCCCATTCGGGGTGACGCTCCCAACAAGATTTTCTCCATATCCAGGGCTCGAACCCGAGACCTCTGGTTAAAGGTGAAACACTCCCATCAGTGCACCACAATCCATGTTGATGGTTTGTCGCATATGCATGACATAATTTCTAAGAATAAGTTATTTGTTTACAAAAATACCCTCTAAGAATAAGTTGTTTGTTTATAAAAAAAGGTTTATGGATACTTTTGTTATTTTATATTTTTACTTATTTTGGGATTAATATTCCACCCACAAGTAGTGATAACTTATCCTAGTCATAATTATTAATCCTGGGATAAGTTATCCACACTTCGTAAACAAATAAAGAATTGAGGGATATTAAAAACTTATTTCGAAATTATTTTTCTTTATCCATAGCACCGAATGAGTGGTTGGACGTAGATTTGATTGAAATTTGAGAAAAAGGGTTCTTGAAATTGAAAAATGGCACTATTTAAAAATTGTAGTTGTTTTTAACATGTATTCCACCTAAAATAAAATAAAAGGTTGAAACCTTGTGACTGGGAAAATTCATCTTTAAAAACAAATCAAAAAATCATTTCAAAATTAACAAAACAATATGAAAATATTTTCTGAAAATAAAAAAGATTTCTTTTAATGTCGAAGCGGCTCCTTAAAAGTTGAAAAGGTGAAGCCAAAAATCCCCTTTTCTGGATTTCTTTTTTAATGAAGAGTGGTGAGAGATATCGTCTTTTTCTTTCAGTGTTATCACACGTGAAAACTGAAAAGTGAAGAAAAGCACCAAGTCCTCTCTCAATATTATTTGTTTAATAAAAAACTATATTTATTATGTGAAATATAAGAATTAAAAATTTCTGATAATGTGCAAAGATGCAATTTAAAGTTTTTAATTCAGGTTTGATTAGTGACACGCTTTCTTATACTAAATTATTAGTTCCTCATTCCTAGTATATATATTCATTAATGAATAAGAAACTATAGGCTATATTTATTGTTTAGTGTCGCACTCTTTGAGCCAAAAGACACACAAATTAAACTCCCAAATGGTTAAAATCAACATTAAGCTAGTATAGCCAGGCATGCATTTGACTCCCAAGTGATTAAAGTCATTAAGATTAATTAGCAACTACGTTTACATTAAACCAAAAAGATTGCTAATTAAATGTTTTTATTCTACCATGGCTTGCCCTTTATCTTACCTTAAATAGAATGAGTAGATTTTTCGTAAGGAAACAAAATATTTTGTGTCTCTCACAATTGAAATAAGTGTGTGAGATTTCATTTTATCTTATAATTAAGTATGATAATTCAAAATATAAGATTTGGGTACCATTTACTTATAAGATAAAAAAATAAAAAATAAAAATCTTACACAACTATTGTTAATTGCGTGAGACACAATATAAAAAATTTTATAAGAAATATGAGACCTACCAAGTGACCTACTACTAGAAGAATATTAAAACAACAGATAATGTGTAACAACCCTTTTAATTGATCAATGCGAATAAATATTTTTAAACACTTACCAATCTACAAGAAAAGTTGATGTCAATTCAAGGCATAGAGAGAGTGTTAATTGTAAGTCGTTGTCAATGTGAAGAAAACGATAGGGGCATTTGTCTACTTTGAGTCTTCAACGTAGTTGCCAAGGTACTCGCTCTCTCTTTTCATACCTACTTAACTTTTATCACAATTGTTGATGTTATTCATTCATAAAATTTGTACACATTTCAGCAAAAAAAAATTTAAAAAATTGTACACATATTTATTGGTGTAACCGCGTAAAATGAGAAAATCTTAAAAAATGAGAATTTAATTCTCTGCCTTGTAATTCTCTCATTGTTCACTTATTTACAACCTTGATAACCACGTAAAATGTCACCATTCTTTATTAAGTATCTTTTTTTTTATTTGTCAAATTTTGATTTGGTACACCTATTAAGAAAGCAATGACTGGTATAGTGAGTTTATCATTTTACTCCTAAAATTGATAGAGTTTTAAAAGTAAAAGCGAAAGCAAATTAGCAAATATTTGACAAGTAAATAGAGAGTAAGGACATGTTTGGATGAACTTATAAAAGGTAACTTATAAATCAAAAGTCATAACTAGATGGTACCCTACTTTGACGTCTGACTTATTTATAAACTTTATTGGCCTAAAAATGAGTGTTGAAAAGCACTTTATAATTTTTTCAAACACCTCCTAAACTAAAAAAAAAACTATTCCCTCCGTCCCATTTTATATTGCACTTTTTGAATTTCGAGATTCAAACAAGTCTATCTTTGACCGTATATTTTTCATAGATCTTTTTAACATTTTGAATATTCAATTATTGTGACTTATAGTACTTTTTACGTAGTTTACAAATATATAAATTTCATTTTTTTAAAATTGAAGATTCCATGCGCAAATTTCCGATCAAACTTAAACAGTTTGACTTTCAAAAAACGAAAAAATGCCACATAAATTGAAACATAAGGAGTACTTAAAAGTCAAAAACACCTACAAATAAGTTAATTCAAATGAGCACTAAGTAGGAAGACAAAATTAAATTGTACTCCCTCTGTCCCTATTAAATGTCAAATAACTCCTAATTTGATGTCCCTTTTTTATTTGTCATTTTTGACAAATCAAAAAATAATAATTTATCTTTTTCTATTATATCATGGGGTCATTTGGTTGGAAACAAGTTATGTCAGGATTATATATGAGATAATTTATCCCAATAGTGGGTAAGTTATTCCAAATATGACAATCAACCAGACACAATTTTTTTATCACATTACTATTTTCTTATCCATGACTATTTATTTTAACATTCACTTATTATCTTTGAAAAATAGTGAATAAATACATTTAAAAAACTATCAATTAATAAAAATAAAATAATAAAATTTAATATACCAAACAATATTTTTTTAATAATTTCGGTATCATATAAAAATTGACAAATAAAAAAGCACGACGGGAATACCAATTAAACAAGTAAAACGTCCGACTGAGGGAGTAAAAGTCGATGACTATAAATTATAATGTCTGGTTGGCAATTTCTATATTACCCTTTAGATGGTTATTTTAAAATAAAATAAAAAGAATAACTTTTACTCATCTAACAACTATACTCTGAATTTGAACCAACTAAGATGAATAAATTAACATTTTCTCTGTTCACTTTTATTTCATTATTATAAATATATACATAATTTCTTAGAAAATAATGATGGATATAATACTTATTATAATATTTATATTAATTAATACGTAATATAAATCTTAATAAATAAATAAATAATATTAAAAGTAAAATAATAAATTAATTTGCAAGTAAAAGTGAACGGTGAAATTATGTGTGACACCCTTTGATATGACCCAATGATTTAAGCTTGAGACTTTCATATTAAAGGTCTTAAATACAAAATTCCTTTTGCTAATGAAAGCAAAATTTATTCGGTGTGCGTCTAAAGAATAACAGCTGCAAATTTCCGTGGTAAAGGTTATATTGGCAGTGATGAGCCATGGAAAATGTGGGGTCACATACATGTCCTTTAGTAGATACAAAAAAATACTCATGTGTTGTCACTTACTTGTATATAAAGCTGTGATTTGCATTTAATTAATTTTTGACTTTGAAACTTCAACTTTGCCTTTTCCATTTACTCACTGTTCCCTTCCCATAGAACAGTCAACCAAAAAAAATAAAAATTATTTAATTACTTTCTTCGTCTTCATTTATATAATGGTAATATTATTTCAGTAGTCATACAATTTTTTTAATTATAATTTTCTCAAAATTGAATCAATAGCTATCTTGATTTGTAATAGCTTTTCGTGTAGCTTTTAAATATATATTAGTATATTTTATTTCAAAATTAAATGGTAAAAAAATGAGTGATTTTAATTTGGTATTCCGAAGAGTTTCACATAATTTGGGACTATTAATATTTTTAATATAAAATACAAGGAAAGAATGTATTAGGTGAATAGTGATTTGATTTAATTGAAAGATCATAGTGCCTGGATATATGTTTGGTAAACAGAATCCCATTTTAAACGTCAAATTGTTATTTTTGCGTAAAAAGAAAAGGAATATGATTCCTATATCCTGGCAATAAGCTACAAGGTCAACAACTACCAAACTACCCTAATTAACTGTGAACGTAATAAATTGTTAATTTATTTGTACTTCCTTCGTCTATTAACTATGGTTATTTTTTAAAACATTAAATCTATTATATTCAAAGAATAATATAGTAAAAATCATTATTTTTATGTATTAATCTCTCCGTCTACTTTTAGTTGTCATGATTTCCTTTTTTTAGAGTCAAACGAGAAGAACTTTGACTAATATTTTATGATGTATTCATCATATTGCTATGCAAAAAATTGCAATTTATAGTATTTTTCGTATAGTTTTTGAATATCTAATTTTTTTGTTTAGTATATCAAATTAATGTAATCTAATTTAACTTTGAAAATTAGTCAAATTGATTTTTGAAAAAACTCTATATGACAACTAAAAGTGAATGTACTAAGAATATGCTAAGTTAATACTGGATAAATAAAATTCAAGATAAGGATGAGTAGAGATCAATTTTCCTTATCAAAATATTTTTGATGCCACTCATTTAGCTTTGATTTACCTAATGCGATTTACATGAAGACAGGTTTAAGTTTGATAGTGCAGCCTTTGATAGATAAACCAAATGATGTGACCATTTAAGGTAAGAAGGTTTGTTTTGGTTAGAAATTAGTCGGATCATACGCACCTAAAATCTAGTTGAGAAAAGCCTTTGTTTGTGGACAAGAGAAGAAGAAGATGCCAAAAATTGATCTTCTACTATGCAATTATAAATAAAATAATTGGATTAAAAAATAAAAAAATAATTAGAAATAAAATAATTGGATTACTCTAGGATTGACTAAAGTGAGAAGTTGTCATTATTGTGTCATTATTGTGCAAAAACACAAATTCTAGTTATGATGCAATGTATGAGCAAATGGATTTGTGGCATGCTTAAGCCCTTCTGATAAATTCTCATACCTTTAATTACTCAAACCAACTAAATATTCTTTATTTTCATACATTCTGATTCCTCACTAACCAAAACTATCTTCATTTGACTCTCTCTCTCTTTCTTCTTCTGCCTCTAAGAATTGGTAATTTTCTCTCTAAGTTTCTGAATTATGAATCCTTTCTGGTTTTCTTTGAAGAAAAATTCATAGCCATTTTCAAGAATTGTGTATCTGTTGATTGAGCTAAGCACATGATATATGACTTCAAATGGTATTCAGAATTGTTTTTTTTGGTTTGCGGGATATGGTGAAATATTTCAAAATTAAGTCTGAGATAAAATTTATATGGTGTTTAGTTCTATGTTGTTCGAACTATTCAAAAATGTCAGTGGTTGCGCGTCAGATTCTCCAAAAATAGTATATTTCAACCTGGGTGTGGCATCAAAAGTGAAGAGTTGGCGCAATAAGTTGACATATAAATTTATACCTTAAACCAATCTCAGGCTTAATCCCGGGATAAGCAGCCTATTCCCATCTAATTTTGGAATCATTTTAATTCCATCTTTATAAATTAGTCTAAAGATTATAAATTGCTTACCAAATGAGATGAAATTTATACTGTTTTTTTTTTTGGGGTTAATTTCTCTGTTTATATCTTGTCTTGATTGGTTAGGTAAATTGAATTCTTGCTATATATTTGAAACTTTCAACTTCTTGGTTTCTGCAATGTTTTTGTTGGAGTGAAAACAATACTTATAATCATGATTTTTCCTGATTACTAAATATCAAATTTTGTAAAAACATATCTGTGTGCTAAACATGAGTTTCTCTTTTGTGTAATAGAGCCTTGACAGTAAGTGGTTAGATGATGGAAGAAATTAAAGTGGAAGGCTTAAGTGCTCTGCCTTTATTAAACTCTCCAACCATTGCTGTAGCTATCAATGGTAAGAAAAAGAGCAAATATGTAGTCAAGTGGGCTTTGGACAAATTTGTTCCTGAAGGAAAGGTTTGCTTCAAGCTGTTACATGTCCGTCCACGCATAACTGGTGTGCCAACCCCCAGTAAGTTGTTTATCTGCACTCTGTTGTGTTTAATTGTTACTTATTCGAAAGCTTTCTGGAGTAGAAAATTTGTTTGCAGAGGGCTTCCATAGGCTAGTAATTGTGATTAATGTAAGATGATTATAGACTTCACTAAATTGATGAACTACTAGAGTGTAAGTTAGGCCAGAGAATAGAACATCCTTCTAGTTTGGTGCTTTAGTCTATGATGACAGTTGATAGGTGTTATGTACTCCATCTGTTTCAATTTGTTCGTCTTACTTTATTTTTTAGTTTGTTTAAAAAAGGAGGTCTCTTTCTTAATTTTTTTGACAACTCATTAATTTCAACATCCATATTATACATATCTTTAGCTTAAGACTGCAAGGTTCAAAGATCTTCTTAAACTCCGTGCAAGTCAAACTAAGACAAACAAAATTGAAACGGAGGGAGTAATACATAAATATCTGATGCTGTGGTTTAGTGGAGAAGGAACATCATTGCAACTTTGTAGCTTAACTATCTTTCACCTCCACCCACAAAAAGAAAAAGGAAGAATAAGAAAGAACTTTGGTTGCACACCCTTTACACTAGATAAATTTGCTTCCAAATCCTGGAACAATGTGATTTTCTTTCTGGGTGATGGGGTCTTTAGGCCTTTTCTTGCTGGAGCATGGCATGTAACCTTTCTTATTTACGTGCACTCTTAACTTTGTGACGATATAAGCTTCAACTTCAGAAACAAAAGGCAAGGAGAAGGGAAAGTGAGGAAAATAGAAAAGACAATATCTAACAAAATCTTGAAGATGCTAAACCTTCCTTCTCATATATTATGTCACACGAGCCCTTCATTTGCCTTAACGTACCCGTGCCAAATATATGTCGAAAATACACTAAATATTATCATAAAGCTGCACGTATCACTGCAAAGATGCTTATACACACTTACTGGATATGTCATGTGAATGAGTCCATCTAACATGGTTCATATGCTATTTCCTTGAGAAAGCTGCCAATTTTTCTTTGTACACATCAGTTGTCATTAATTCAAAAATCTGGAAACAAGAATTAAGTTTTGGGACTATGATATGTCAGGACTATGACTGCTTTATTTATAATCCTTCCTTTCTTTAGTGGGAAGCTTTATACCTATTTCACAAGTGCGGGAGGATGTAGTGGCTGCTTTCCGAAAGGATGTGGAGTGGCAAACAAGTGAAAATCTGCTTCCTTACAAGATGTTATGTACTAATCGAAAGGTAAATATATATCTCAGATAAGTGGAAAATCTCCTTAAGTTATACCTCTGATCATCCAAAATACATGCAGGTCCAAGTAGAAGTTTTACAACTTGAATCAGATGATATCGTGAACGCAATAGCACAGGAGATCACCAAGCTTAATAGCATCAAGCTTGTGATAGGTGCTTCATCTCGTAGCATATTTTCTAGGTAATAATATTTATGCTGTTACAAATTTTAATGATGAACTGCTGACACTCTAGGTGGCAATCTCTTTATTTTTTTACAATAATTACCAAGGTATATATATTTGCCTCAACTCATATATGTAGTCATTAATCCTTATTGCCACACCTCAAAGTTGCGATACTCGAGAAATGCAACAACCTGTGGGTATCTTAGAAGATACAATGCAGCTAGAAGAGAGGGATGACACCCAATATTGACGAAAAAGTTTATTTATTTGACATACATGCCAGCTTTATAAAGATCCTTGTGGTCATTGACTTGTAAATTGTAATATCAAGAGAAACATTATTCTAGAATAGGGGGAATTTATATGGATTCACTTCTGATGAGCTGTGAAATACCCTCTCTGAAACAAACCTGACATTTTATCTCCTTATATCATACAGTTGTTTCGTTTTAATTTGCTAAAACTCATGTAAAATATCCAAGTACCCTTCTTCCTATGTGGACAAACTCTTAGAATTTCAATAATTAATTAGGACAATGTCAAACTAAAAGAAGAATGCAAGAAGTTCATATTATCCAATACTCAAGTATGAAGCAGCTAATATTCAACATCATATAGCTATTCAAAATTATACGAGACACATAATGTGAAGAGGGTACTTTCTAGCATCATTGCCATTCTCTGTTGTAAGTTCAAACTTTTTATCTGATGTTTAGGGGACAAAGCTTATCCTCAAGAATCTCGGGCAGTACTCCAAGCTTTTGTACCATCTATGCTGTTTCAAAAGGAAAATTGTTATCTGTACGTCCTTCTGATTCAGAGATAAATGGAAGCAGTTCAGCTGGAGATAGTTACACAAGTTGCTCAATCACCAGTTCAACAGTTCACACTTCAAGTTCACTAACAGGTAAAAACCAACTGTTTCACCAAACAAAATACTACAACTGTCGGCCAGTTTTGCGTACCTTAGCTGAACTTGTTGCCTTCGGCTGGAGAAACATTTTACTTCTTAAGGGGTTTATGTAGTTCTTTTCTCCATTTCTTGCACCCTGTGATTTAGAAATGACATGAATTCACATTAACATCACCCCTAATCTAAGATGGAGAAGACTTTGATTAGTACTGAGTGTCTGGATGTCGTATTTGATGGCTCTAAATGAACGGGATGGTAGCAACTGTTGGAAAACTGATTCTAGTATCTCAAAAAGAAGTGTTCATATTATTTTCTATATTCATCATATTAAATGGGTGTTAATATCCAGTTAATTGTCTTATAAATCATTATTAATTTTGGCCTAAATATGGCAGTTGGCCAACGTCTTTTTCCTTCTAATTGGTCTTCAATCTTTTGCCTTTAATCTTCATAAAACAGCCTTTATAATTCTTAATTATTTTGACCGTTGGTTGATGACTATTTTTGGGTATATATATATTCCTCTTGTGTTCTTATGGAGAAGAAGAAAAGATATAAAACAATATACATTTTGAGAGTAAATCTTTCCTCCTGTATTCTATTGGTGTGCTGGGTTTTGTTCTTTAAATCTTTGTTAGTTTCTGGTTCCTAGTTTTATACTAGAAGAGTTTGTTGAATCCTAGGGGATACACCCATACCAGGTGAAATATCCTTAAGGACAGTGCCTTTCAACACGCCTCAAGCTATGAGAATTTCCTATAAGAGTTATTGGTGAATTACAAGCTTTGGTGAATTCGGTACAAGTGTTCGTGATGAAGGTATTTTCCGTAATATTTACAGCAACAACTAGTTAATATACCATGCTGCACCTCTATTAAAGCATGTCCCAGGATTGTGATAGCATGTGCTGGATCTTGATTGAAGAAGTGTCTTTGTAATAAACCTTCCACTAGACAAGGAAGCAGTTTAGTTCGTTCTTAAAGTACATTAATTAGGCATGGTATAAGAAGGTAATATTTTGGGCCTTCTAATAGAAAAAAAACACTTGAGATGTCTTCACAGAATAGGTAGTCATTCCACTGTCATTGATTCATTCTCATCATCATGTGATTCATTTTAATACGCCTATTCTTGAAAATACACAACATTTTGGTGAAAGATTTGTCCATTCATAATAGAAACTATCTCTCTAGCATATGTCTATGAGTTAAGAACACATCATTTCGTTAAAGAGTATGTCTATTCATAAAAGGCACATTGGTGAAGGTTCACTATCTAATTCACTCTCCTGCAATGTCTCTTCCATTATGGTGATTCTTGAGTAGTTCATTGCGTCTTGCGTGTAGGACTTTGCTTTGCTATTTGCACCAAGGTAGCATGGAAGTATACTTTGGAACAAAGCCTTACATAGCAATTAGTTTTTCACATTCAAACTCCATCTTTCTTTTGTTATGCCTTGTCTATTGATTTAGTGTTTCCATATTTAGTTATTTTCTAATGATAAATTCCATGTTCTTGAGAGATTTTCTATGTGTGAGTAAGTTCATCATTTCTTGGACTGAACAATTTATCTGTATTCTGCTTTTCAGAAAGGTCAGAACCAGACTCAAGTTCTTCATACAGTCACTTCCGTTCTCCTTCACTGCCAATGCAAAGATTTCGAGCTCTTTCACATATTAATCAGAACTTTCCTCATAGAAGAGCATGTTCAAATGTATCAGCCCACCATAATAGCTTATCTCTTGATTTTGGTGATGGCGAGGATGATGTCAGGTCTTGTCCCCAAGGAACATATCTTACTGATGGAGATGACCTTACTTCTACTTTTAGGAGCTTGGTAACAGACAACTACACTATAGCAGATGATCAAGCTTCAATTTCAGGGGCTCTGACAGATTCATCGTCGAGATATGAGGTATATTCTGACTCAGGTTGTTATATTCATTACTTATCAAATAGGCATAGCTCAAAGTTCTGATCAACTGATGATGACATGATTTCATTTTACTTACATCAGACATGCTTCCTGTCTTTTAATTTCTGTATCTGTCAAAAACAATCTAGCGGACAGCCTAGACTTTTAACACCGTTCAATCTTCTAATGCAGACGGACATCAATTTTGAGCTAGAGAAGCTAAGAACTGAATTAAGACATACTCGAGGAATGTATGCAGTTGCACAAACTGAAGTAATTGACGCTTCTAGGAAGGTATGCTTAGGCAACAATGACTTTCATTTTTTGTCCTTTTATGTCTAATTCCTATTGTATTGTGATCATAAACCTACCTGCCACGAACAGATAAATGAGCTGCACAAGCGCCGGTTGGAGGAAGATGTTAAACTTCGGGAAATTTGTTTGAAGGAAGAGGAAGTAAAAGCGTTGGCACTAAAAGAGAATGAGAAGTACGAAGCTGCAAAAAGGGAAGCTGATTATGTGAAGGAGTGTGCTGAAAGAGAGGCAGCACAAAGAAAAGAAGCAGAACTACTAGCCTTACGTGAGGCAAAAGAAAAAGACAAGCTTGAGAATGCCTTGACAGGCAAGGCACATCAGTACCAAGAATTCACCTGGGAAGAAATCGTATCTTCCACCTCTTCTTTCGATGAAAATCTTAAAATTGGTATGGGGGGATATGGAACTGTTTATAAGTGCAGCTTGCATCATACTACAGTGGCTGTCAAAGTTCTTCACTCTGAGGGATCTCATCTTACGAAGCAGTATCAGCAAGAGGTATGACAAGTTAATGAACGAAAGAATGATCAAAATGAGTTTGCTTGATATCTAAAAGAAAATGTGATATTTTGTCTGGTCATAAAGACCATTGTACCAAGGTTACCTACCAATATTAGTCTCCTCTATTCTAGAATTCTTAGAATCTGCTCTTTTGTTGTTTCAGCTGGAAATATTGAGCAAAATTAGTCATCCACATTTGCTAATCCTTCTTGGTGTGTGCCCCGATCGTGGTTGCTTAGTGTATGAGTTCATGGAGAATGGTAGCTTGGAGGAGAGACTTTTCAGGAAACATGATACACCTCCAATTCCATGGTTTGATAGATATCGAATTGCATGGGAAGTGGCTTCTGCCCTTGCCTTCCTTCACAACTCCAAGTCAAATCCGGTTATTCATCGTGATCTAAAGCCTGCAAACATATTGCTTGATCGTAATTTTGTCAGTAAAATTGGTGATGTTGGCCTCTCAACCATGATAAATTCGGACGCTGCCTTATCCACCATTTACAAAGATACAGGTCCTGTGGGAACACTTTGCTACATAGACCCTGAGTACCAAAGGACTGGATTGATCTCTCCAACATCTGACATTTATGCGTTTGGGATGGTTCTCTTGCAGTTGCTAACAGCAAAAGCAGCAATGGGACTTCCTCACATTGTTGAAACAGCAATCGATAAGGATAATCTAACTAAGGTACTAGATCCAGATGCTGGTAAATGGCCATTAGAAGAGACAAAGAAACTAGCTATGCTAGCACTTAAATGCACAGAGCTTTGTCGAAGAGACAGACCGGATTTGAAAGATGAAATTCTCCCTGCATTGGAGAAATTAAAAGAATTTGCTGATAAGACTCGAGATTCTGCCTCGACTACCAAATCTCCTCCTCCTAACTACTATTTGTGTCCTTTACTCAAGGTATGCCATTCTTTCCTTCCCATAACTCTTACATCGTGATAATGATTCATGTTTCATGTGGCACATAATAGTACCAAATAATCAATTGTTATGTACTACCAAGTTTCTCATCTTCATTTCTAAGGCACGGTTGGTTCTTTTGTCGCAGGATATAATGAAGGACCCTTGTGTGGCAGCTGATGGGTATACTTATGACAGGAACGCAATAGAAACATGGCTAAAAGAGAAGGATATATCACCAATGACAAGCCTACCATTAGCTCATAAGAACCTTCTACCAAATTACGCACTGCTTTCTGCGATTCTGGACTGGAAATCAAGATAGGCTGGAAAACATTTAGATTGTTTGGATAGATATTTTTTTAGACTTATAGTCTAGTTGAACATAGCATACCACCTTAACACAATGAACCAGCTGATAGATTTGAATGTTTCTCTGTAATTGTGAGATTGAGTAAACAGTCCTATAACATGTTAGTAGGATAAAAATGAGTGACAGTAAGAGAAGAGTTGTGGAAGAAAGTTGCATATGAGACTATGTATCAATCTTGAACTCCTGTTGTCATCACTTGAGTTGCAATGGTCAAATTATTAAACAGTGTGATCTTTGCAATCTGTATGAAGATTTGGCATTTTATGGAAAAAGATTTGGGAATTCTAATCCCACAAGAACCAACTTGGCCTCCTATATCTACAGGAGATATTGGGATTCCCTCAACAAAAATAAGTCATAAGTTATAAACTCAAATTTATGGTTTTTGGCTTATAAGTCATAAGCCAAAAGTCAATCCAAACAGGCTCTAAAAGTCTATTTTTGTTAGTTTCAAGTTGAAGGTTTACTTCATATAAAGTTCAAGCGTATTTCAATAACATTAACATATCAATCAAATCCAAAGCCAGTAAAATAATGTTATGTGTGGGTTAAGAGGTCGTCAAGTGTTGAAGATGACATGTTTTGAAGGCCAATTAAATACTTCAATCTTATTATATACTGCTTTTACGATAGGCTAGATGACTCACACGGGGCAATTAGAATCAAGCAAGAGAGAAGACATTTTCAAGTTAATTAAACAAGAGAGAGGACATTAGGAAAGCCGCTGTTAATACGCAAAGTTATACTAACAAAGACTCTACCAATAAATTAACTTTTTCGTATTTTATTTGTGATTACGGTTAATTTTCCATAATGTAAAATTTGTCACTAACGACAACATGCTTGAATAAATAATAAGAAGAGTATGAAAAAATTAGTGTTAGTTGTGTCAGGCACAAATTTTTTTTTTTCAAACGTCAAGTTGAGCAATACGAAGATTTATTAGACATACAAAACATGATTTTGTTCTGATTTTCATTATATGTCGTTTTCTCTATATCTACACTTTATTCAACAAAATCCTCTTATATATAATATTTCTTCACTTCATAATTAATTAGTGGCCTTAATTATTTTTTTAATAAAACAGATCACCACTATCTTGTTTGGTTTGTAGATTAGCATCCATAATCTATCTAAACTTTTCAGGTAATGGGGAAAATATACATATTAATTAATAAATAAAGAGATAAGTTCATGAAAAAGAGCCTTATGCAATATGGCCAGGTGAATGGTGGGGTTTACATTGAATGTGCTTTATTGGACATCTCCATTTTTGCCATTTTAAATATAATAATCCTTCTTCAATAAGTAATTAAGTATTATATAATTCTCCTCTCTTTTAATAGTTTAAGTAAATTTGTAAGTGGAAAAGTTTCCTTTATTCTTTGGTTTGGGCATTAAGCATGCATTTCCACTTGGCCTGAAAAGTGCTTAAGGAAAAAGTGGGGATTATAATCAACTTATTTTAAGATAAAGTGTAACATCCGACAATTTAAAAATGAATATGAAGAAGCTTGAAATTTGGAAATAGTCATTTTTGGAAAAATTTAAAATCTGGAAAATTTGGCTAAGTGTGGAAATCAGTGAGTTTTTGGCCAACTTTGAGCAGTCATAACTCCTAGCTCAGGATGAGTTAGGAGTAGTTCCAGTTATGGTTTCGAAGCTTGTGGAACGATCTTTCCAACGCCACTGAGTTTGCTCAATTCCGAGTTCGTATGAGCGAGTTATGATCTTTGAAAGTTGGGCAGTTGGCAGGGATTCCGTTCCGGAAATTTAAGGGCATTTTGGTCTTTTCACAAATAATTTCTTTTCAGCTTATATTGTTGTATTAGGCTGATATTTGGATCATTTTGTCCCATTTTTAAAGAGAAAGAGTTAGGGTTCAAGAGAAGAAGAAGAGAAGAAGGAGAAGAAGAAGAGAAGAAAGAGGAGATCAACAAGATTTGTCAAGATCATTGTGGATTTTCGTCGGGGGTGATCCCTATCAAGGTATGTGAGTCTTTAGTGTGGGTTTATCCTTCCCCCCCACATACCAAGCTCGTTTTTATGATTTGAGAAGAGATTGGATTTGTTGTTGAAGTTGTTGAAGTTGTTAGTTGTTGATGTTGTTAGTTGTGTTGTTGAAGTTATTGTTGGTTGTGGGACAGGATTGGGCTGTGTATTTGAGTTGTGACCTATTGTATATTGAGGGATTTTATGATCCTTAGTGTTGGTTGGTTCATACCCCCACACACCAACTCGTTTTTAATTCCAAGAGAAGATTTATTGGTTGTTGAAGTTGTAGTGGTGTTGTGTTGAAGTTCTTGCTGATTTAGTACAGATTTCTGGCTGTGATTTTTGAGTTGAATCTATTGTATAATAAGGGTCTTTATGATTCTAAGTGTTGCTGCTGAAACCTTGAGGTTGAGAGGGTTTAGAATTGGAAAGAAACAAGGGGAAAAAGTCGGATTTTTGGGGAAAAAGGGGCTGGGCTGTTGCACCTCTCCTAGTGCCAAGGACACCAATCCTTCCCTTTCATTCACCATTTCTTTTTTATACATGTTCCTAGGTATTATACCTATGTTTCCTAGTTGTTTCCAACACTCCAAGGTACTTCCAAAAGTCAAGTAAAACTACAAGTCAAGTGAAGTTAGTTTCCAATTCAAGTGAAGTTAGTTTCCAAGTCAAGTGAAGTCAAGCTTAGAAGTAAGTAAGTCAAAGCAAGTCTTTAAGGTTTTCCAAGAGTCTTCATTGAGCGTTTTAACTTCATTCTAAGGCTCAAGTTCCAAGTTAAGTATTGAGTTTCAAGTCAAGTCAAAAGTTAAGAGTTTCATGTTAAGTTAAGAGTTTCACATCAAGCCAAGAGTTCAAGTAAAGTAAAGAGTTTAAAGTTGAGTTCTTTTCTCAAAGTTATTAGGGAACTATGTATTCCCAAAGAAGTTTTAAAGAAATGTTTTTACATTTAAACAAGGTTGGAAACTGAGATTTCCAAAAAGCCTTCGGGCTAGTTTTTGAGTAATTATCTCATATCAGCAGGAAGAAATATGTTTTAAAAACATAAGAGCCAGTACATTTTTGGGAGTAGTATCGAGCACCGAATTGGGGGAGCGTTCAAAGAACCCACAGCCCCCATAGAACCATGTTAGCCACCATGGGTAGAAAAAGATCATACTTTTTAGATGAATCCTTTTCAGATTAGACTAGTGGATCCATTAGGCAGTTCAGGTCTTATACCTTTGGCCGGGTATAAGATGCTCTGGCAGCGTGAGGTCGATCGTTGTATCATCACTATAGCTCTTATGTGATGGTTGTCGGTTAGAGAAACTCCCACAGCAGTTATTGTATTTTTTCATACACAGAGATTATTGTATTTTTTATATACATCAGTTCATTGTATTTTTATACACATTTCAGGCTTATTGTATCCTTGTATACACACAGAGTTCATAGCATGTTTTAAGCAATCTTTCTTTATATCGCACTTGTTTTAAATTGCCTTATATTGAAAGAAGTCAGTCAGGTTGAGTTAAGTTGAGCCAGGTAAGCTATTCAGTTTCTTCCAGTTTTCCTTCTAGCCTTTGTTGCTTAGTTTTCCAGCTTGCATACTCGTACATTCCATGTACTGATGCCAGTTGGCCTGCATCGTTTGATGATGCAGATTCAGGTACCCCGGATCAGCATCCTGCACGTCGTTGATCCAGCTGAGCACTCCAGAGTCAGTGGTGAGCCTCCTTGCATTCCGGAGGACTCAATTATTTTGTGTTCTTAGTTTTTGTTTTATTAGGATGTTGCGGGGTCTGTCCCAACATCCATCTCAGTATTTTAGAGGCTTCATAGACAGACAGTCAGTCAGTTAGTTTTGAGTCTCTCATCTATATATATGTAAATATTCTATTTTGAGATTCGAGTTGCCTTTATGGCCATATTTTATAAGTTAAGTTGTTTTGTAATATTGCATTGCATTGAGTTATTCTGTTGAGGTTTCCGCTGAGTTAAGAAAGCCAGGCCAAGGGTTCGCTTGGGGCTAGAAATGGTCTCCGGGTGCCGGTCCCGCCCAGGGTGTAGGCTCGGGGCGTGACAAACTTGGTATCAGAGCACAGAGTTCAGGAGTCCTAGGGAGTCTATGAAGCCGTGTCTGTAGAGTCCTAGTTATCGGTGTGAAGCGCGCCACATCTATAATTGGGAGGCTGCAACATTTAGGAAGATTTCTCATTTCTTTCACACTCATTTCATGCGTTAGAGTTGATCTCTAAAAAGTTTCTTTCTAATCCATGCTTGCGCGTGTTTCAGATAGTCATGCCTCCACGAAGAGTTGGTAGAGGGCGTCTTCCTAGACGTTATGTTGATGAGCAAGAGTTACCCTATGCACCGGGAGTGCAAGATCAAGGGGAAGTTTCTAATGCCGAGTTCAGAGAGGCAATTAGAATGTTGAGTCAAGCTGTAGCAAATCAGATTGGTCAGCAAAGAGGAGCTCGACATGAAGGAGCTGACACTTCAAGGATTCGTGAGTTCTTGGGGATGAATCCTCCGAGTTTCATGGGTTTGAGCACTACTGAGGATCCAGAGGATTTCATTGAGGAGTTGAAGAAGATTTTTGATGTGATGCATGTGGCAGATATTGAGCGGGTTGAACTAGCTGCTTATCAATTGAAGGATGTTGCTAGAACTTGGTTCGACCAGTGGAAAGGGGGCAGAGCTGAGAATGCACCACCTACAAGTTGGGCCGATTTTGAGGAAGCTTTCTTGGGGCATTTCTTTCCTCGAGAATTGAGAGAGGCCAAGGTACGTGAGTTCCTCACACTTAAGCAGGAGTCCTTGAGTGTTCATGAGTACAGTTTGAAGTTCACACAATTATCCCGCTATGCTCCGGAGATGGTTGCGGACATGAGGAATAGAATGAGCTTGTTTGTTGCTGGGTTGTCTCGGTTGTCGAGCAAGGAAGGTAGGGCTGCAATGCTTATCGGGGACATGGACATATCAAGGTTGATGGTTTATGTGCAGCAGGTTGAGGAAGAGAAGCTGAGGGACAGAGAAGAGTTCAGAAATAAGAGAGCTAAGATCGGGAACGAGTCCGGGCAGCAGAGAGGTAATTCAAACCGTTCCTCCTTTCAGCAAAGGCAAAAGGGACCTGCTCCATCATTTGCTAGAGCACCTGCACCCAGATACAGAGGTGAATTTAATGTTCAGAATTCGAAGGACTTCAGGGCTAGACCAGCACAATCTTCGGGTAGTGTGGCGCAA